GCTCTCGGGCCGCCGCCCCTCCGTCCCGGCCGCCCCGCGCAGCCTCAACCGCCTTCCGCGAAGACGTCGCCTTCACTGCAGCCGAAAGCCCCGAGGGGTGTCGATGGCACGGGCGGGATGGCCAGCCAGGGTCCCAAAGAGGACAAGGCGGTGGCAGCTGCAGCTCCGGCCGGTCCTCTGTCGACTCCGGGGAGGATCCGGGAAACCGCGCAAAAGACAACTTCGCCGCCTTCCCTGTATGTACAGTTTCATGGAGAGACTACCCGGCGCCTAGAGGCGGACGAGAAGCCATTGCAGATCCAAAATGACTACCTCTTCCAACTGGGATTCGGGGAGCTGTGGAGGGTGCAGGAGGAAGGCATGGACTCGGAGATTGGCTGCCTCATCAGATTCTATGCAGGTAAGAAGTTACCTGCGCGTTGATGTGTGGTTTCCAACCCTGGCAGGGACCGATAAATGATTCAGGGGGGCTGGTGAGTCTGTCTGACACCCCTTTCTAGCTTGTTCACTTGCCATCTGTGTAAGTACTAAATTGAGCATTCTTTAAATCTGCAAGTTTTAGTTGAGTGTCCAGGGCTGAGGTTGTAAACCAGGTGGGTGAGGTGACAAAGTCATCTGGAATACAGGAAACAGGTTAACACCTGTGTAAAGATGCTTCCTCCAAGCCTCTGCTCTGGCTCATTGGGTTGCAGGCAGTTTGGAATTTCAGGAAACTATCTGATGTATATATGGACAGAGGATGCCTTGCCTATATTCAGCTGCCCGTAGTTTACCTTTTGTAGACAGAGTGTGGGCTGCCAGGAGCGTGGCTCTTGTCAACTGATGCCCTTGTTTGTTCCACTGCCTGCCATGCTTGTTTACTCTCTGAGTCCTATTAGACACCTGCTTACCCTGTCTTTGTTGTCAGAACTGTGACAGGACTTGAAACAGACTAGAGTTCATCGTGTTGGTGGTTACTGCCTCTCTGATATGACTCGACTCTTGTCTAGCGTTTTCAGTACCTGTCCAAGAGGCTTGGCTGGAACCAAGTTATGGAGTTACATGGGTGCTGGTTATTGTACCTGAGCTTTGTGAGCCACTTGTGTTCTCCCTCTGCTTTAGAGTTCTCTTTGTTTAAAATAATGTAGGAGGGCTAAAACTCTAGGTTGTAATACAGTAGCATTTTCTTGGAGATAGTATATTAATGGATGATACACCTTTAATTTTTTTTTTTTCCCAGAAAAGTGTAGGGAACAACAACTGTGTCTTTTTCTTTCACGGCTCATGTAACTTGTGAAATATTTCTTTGCAAAAGCATCAAATAGTAATCACACTTGGAAGGGAGGTTATTTTAAGATGAGAATGATAACCTTTCTTAATACATAGAGGGAAATGGTTATAAAGCAAGGTATATGCAATGGAAAATATTTGAGCATGCTTTTATATATGGAGGAAGCTGTTCTTTCCGTTTGCTCACGACTGGATAGGTTGATCAGGATAAATACTTGTGGGAAAGGTTGGATGTCACAGTTCTGAAGTTTATTGGGATTCTCTTTGGTTGTCTTTTCCGTAGTGTTTAAAATGTTCTGAGTGGGCTATAAGCAATTTGTCTTTATTCTTCATACTCATCTCATTTTAAAAGTGATCTGATTTTTGGCTAAATCTTAAATTTCTGGTGTGGTTATTTTAATCTTTTTGTTTATGAGAAGTAGTAATTGTTACCTCCTTCAGAACCTACTGCTTTATTTTTGTGAGCACAGCATAAATAGATGCAGGCGTCAGTGTATATGCTCATAAAAATAACCAATAAATTGAGGATGCTCCACACAAATTAGTATTCAAGAACACAGCCTGTTCTTGAAGTGAAGCCTGTGTCCATGTGTTCTAGAAGGAAGGTGTCTGGTTGTTGCAAAGGTGTGCAACTGCTTATTTTGGCATTTAAGCAAAGCTGGACTTACTTTAAACCTGAATCAATGTACTGAACATGACTGAACTGATAATTGTCATAGAATAAAACTCAGCATCACTAGATGCTATTTCAGTTTTCACAAGGATGTGTGTTACTAACAGAAGGGCACTGCTGGAGGGTGGTCCCATATATATATATGAACATTGTCAGGACATATGGTAAAGGCTTACCCCGGACTGACGAGTGACGAGATTCCTAGAAATTGCTTCTGTGCTCCAGTGGAATATAGGACAGCCAAAAGGAGAGTGTTGTGTTTTGTCAGTGCTTTTCTGTAGGGAGAGTATAATTCATGTGTGTTTTAAATGAGTAGCTTGAAGAAGGCACTGGAAAATTCTGTATCCATTTGCTGCAATAATTTTCCATATATCCTAGTTTTGAATTTATTGTTACATGTCTTTTCTAGTAGAGTTAACAGCTAGAAGTTTGAGATGGCCTGACAATGTTTTCCTATTCAAACTGAGCACATTGTCCCTCTCCAAGTTCTTACCTTCTCAGCCACTTTGTTTATTTTCACAACGCTTCTGTCCACCAGAGGACTTCTGTTCTCTTGAGGGTCACTGTTAAATTTCAGTACTCACCATCTTTCTCAGGTTGTTTAAGGGCTTTGAAAGCTATTTGTGGTTACTTTGAATGGTTAAATATTTATTTGGGTAAGGTAAAATTAAATTCTACATGAAGTCATTATTGGATGAGAAGTATACTATCTAACTGCAATTACCAAAAACTTAGTTTGAAATTGTTACTGCTCCTATCACAAAAGCATTCTTTGAGTTTTAAAATGTGAGGAAATTCAATTGGTGTTATCTAATGTTACACTGATTTTGATTATGCTAATGTTTAATTTCCTTAAAAAAGTCATACATCTTAACTTGTACCTGAAAGAGTAATTTCAAGTTAGAAAAAAAAAAATCAGGAATTCAGTTACCTGGCCTAAGTTATGAATGCCTAGGCCTGAATGAGCTGCTTTGTTTAGGGCTCCTGGGGCATATGTCATAGGGCAGTAGTAAACTCGTATTTAAATCTTTTTCATCACTTTTATTTTTGCTCTAGTAGTCTGCTTAGTTCAAGCTGGATGTAGCAACAGTGAAAGGTTGTTGCCCAAATGGAGAGCACAGCTGGCACCTAGTGAATCTTGGAAGATATGTTTGTGTGGGCTTCCTTAGGGTTGCTTGGTAGTCTGCCTCCTCCCCTTCTCATATTTCTATCCTTTCTCTCTTCTGGGAATGCTCAGTCCTTACATGATTTCCTACATGGAAACCAAGAAGGGGTGGTTAGCATCAGCAGTGTACTGACAAGCAGGTTCTTATTACTATAATTACAGCACTACTGAGTAGTGTGGTTTAAACATGTGATTCTAGTGTGTGCTTCAGTAGTGCTTTTAAGTACAAAGGGTTTTCATTTATTTGGTTGTTTTTTTTTTTTTCTTAACACTTTGTTAGGTTCATATATTTGTTTTTCATATGAAGTGTGTGGTATCTTTTAACTATGGTTTGATAAAAACCATACATTGGAGTTTATTGTCTTCAAAACTATTAAAGGGCTTTCATATAAATGGTCTCATTTGTCTTTTCAAGAACCATTAGGGAGGAGTCCCTGGTGTCAGTCCTCTTTTCAGATGGAGATGGCACATTGACGATCTGATTCTTGCTGAGGGTTTTCAGCCCCTGGCAGAGCTGAGACTAGGGAGCAAAGATCCTCTGTGTGTAATTCAACTCACTTTCTATGAATTGGTGCTGAATTTCATTTACACTTGAGTTTCTGTTAAGAGCTTTCAGAAAATATGCTGTGTTTATTGGTAATGAGGTGCTATTATCTGCCAGTCCTGGGTGCTTCCTTGGAAAGTGCAGATGACTGTTTTTTATCACATGGCCTTTAAAAATGTAAAGAACCAAGATTGACAAGTAAGAGCAGTACAGAAAGCATTAAAGCATTCTAAATATTCTGGTTATAGATCTTGATATTTAAACTTGATAAGGCTTATGTAGTGATTAAATTTTGTACAAGTATTTTTTTGTTTGTTAAATCTTTATTGGGAAGTTATCTAAACAGATAACTTAAGAGTGGGTTTTATGACTACTTCTTTTAAAGCAGTGAAGTTACCCAGAGCTTGTCTATTTGAAATTTGAATTACCATTACTCTTAACAGTAAATAGTGTGTTATTGATATTGTATCATTTTGTGTTCTTAGGTTGTATTTGCATTTATTCTCTGAATTTCAGTATGGTGTTTTGAAAGTGGTGGTGGTTTTGTACTTAAAAAATGAGTGTAGAGAGGAGATAGGCTAGATCAGTCTGTGGGAAGTCTCAGGTTACACGAGTTAGCTCGTTGCTGAGGTAAGATTAATCAAGGGTATACACCTAGCCTGTGAGGCTCATAGGTCAATCCACACTGCCAGCAGGAAACCAAATAGATTGTCAAATCAGCTGCCTTAAATGGTTGTGTAAGATGTGTTTGTTACTGTCGCCTTATAAAATTGAATTTAGCTTTTGGTTTATTAGGAAGATAACATTCCCTGACATCATAGAGGATGCATGCCTTGTATAGATCTTGGTAGTTTTGCTTAACATATGAATTAAATTTGTGTAGTTTGTTAAGCAGCTGGTGGAGTTTGTCCTGATTCTTTTGACTTCCATCCTGTTTGGGTCCCCAGGGATGTGTTAAACACACACGCACACAGAGGCATTTCTCCCATGGCAGGAGATTTCAGATGTGCCACATACTATTAATATCTTCTCTTTCACGTGACTGAGCTCTGTGGACTTTTAGAGAACAATTTTCCCTCAAAGTTTTCCTAGAGTTAATAGCTCGCCTTTTTTCAAAGGCCTCTCTTACCTCAACTTTGAGATTAATTTAATGAGACATCTGTCAAATGAGGCATCTTACATTTAATGATTTTGTTATGTGTCACATTTCATGGCATTCAGTCTGCTGGGCAGGAGGAGGCTTAATTATGAACTCTGAAAGTCCACTCAGTGGGAAAACTGTCTCTTTAAAAACACCCCGCATTTGTGAAAATTAGAAAGAGGTCTTATCAAAATGTCTCCTGACAGTGTGGGCAGATAAGCCCTCCTCCACCCGCCTCCTGAAGCCGTCCCCGCCCTTTAATCACATCCATCTGCTGAAGCACTGGCACTCAGGCTTTGGATCCAGACTGGTGGCCCCATACCTCTAACTGACACTGAGGGTCCACATAGTGTCCCTCTCCTTCTGATTGGCACTGAGGATTTAGCTCTGTATAGTGTCCTTGTCCCTTCTAAGGCAGACTCTTGTATTTACCTTTGGTGAAAACAACAACAAAAAACCATACACCAAACACCTGCCACGTGGAGTTTTAGGTATTTTTAGCCTAAGGCTATTTGACTGCCTGTTTAGATTTACATTAAGCCTCAATTAAGGATTTAGAAAATTCTAGTAAGCTGAAAACTCAAGGGTCTGGAAAGAATGGGCTTTAA